GCTTGCTTGTTATTCCTATTTGTTTCAGAAATTTTGCACCAACATATTTACCTATCTGCTCATTTCAAAGGTCCTCACTATATGAGAAAATGATTAAATAATAATCCTAGAGGATACATGGTGCCCCTTTACTTTAGTTTAATTGCATTTTAAAATTATATATTTTGGTGTGGCTTGGCCTTTGTTTCCACCATGTCTATCTAATTCATTAATAACTGCCTATGGTGAAGCAGCAGCTTCACTAATGATGGAACACATGGAATATAAATTTAACACCAATACTGGTGTTAATTTTTTTATATATTTCAACCATTTCTAGGGCTGCTTGTCTCTGTGTAATCTATTGGGGCTTAATATTATAGCAAATCATCTGAATTTGTCTTGCTTTGGGGGTGATAGGTATCAACCAGATGCTCATTCCCACACCAGACAGTTACTGAAGAATCTGCACAGTAGTTATAACTTCTCAAAGAGCCAACTTTGATATTAAAACTGTGGCAAAACTTCACTGACACTATGGGGGGTGAGACCCTGCAAAAGCCACTGTGATGATAAAATATTAAAAAATATATAAAGCTTTAAAAAATCCCAACTAATATTGTTTAATGCGGCTATCCCAATTCTCTCACACAAATGCTATCACTCCATTTCTCATTATTTATATTCAGTGTGGTTCTTAAGAGAGCAGTGAGCAACATGCCATTTTGGAACTGATGTTACCAAGGGCATACACAGTTTAATTATTAAAACAAAGCTGTTGTGTAGCATGCTCTAAGTGCCACTGCTGCCACTTAGAAACTGATGTGATTTGCATTTCTTTTAATAAATTAGGTATTTAATTACATTATAAATGTAACCTCTAATTGAAGTACCTTCTCCCTGTGGGCAGAACTCCATAATAATTTGCACAAGCTACCTAGAAGTGGGTGCATGCTGCTGCAGAAATGGAAACCTCACTAATAAGCACTTAAGCATCATTCTTGAAGATTTTTGCAACTTAATGGACTTTCCCCCAGGATATCTCTTTGGAGGATTTGTTCTGCTGTATTGTGTTGCCTTTTGCTCATCCTCTACTTCTGGCCATTTGTTTGTTTGCACTTTTCTCCTTGATAGCTTTTATTTTTCATACCTGGACGTCCACTGCTATCTCCATAGTATGTAGAGGTGGATGCAATTCCTTGTCCTTGGATATTTCATAGGAATGGTGTTACTCTATTGTCCTAAACTTATTTAACTGCCTAAACACAGATTAAAATTTTAATATCTCTAGTGTAAACTAAACTATTAAGTGAGTTCAGATATGTCAGTTTTCCATGAGTAGTAACTCATGGTCACAATTTAAAAGAGCAGTTCCCTGCTGAGGTTGCCAAGCAAAACTTCATTAAATGCTGAAGTACTGTTTCAGTCTGATTGCTAAAGATTTAACAGATTTAAAGATATTTATTTACCTTAGCCTCTTGACTAGATCTCGTCTAAGCTGTTATTTTCTTCTTGTCTAAAATTTGTTGTCAATTCAGTAAGGAATTTCATTAATAAATTATTTTATTATTTTTTCTTTAAATTACTTCAAACTGTTTGTGACCAATTTAACTCACAAAGCAACTGAGTCAATGAATTCAAATAATACATGCCCATATTTCTTATGTTTAGAGAGTGTTGTGAAGTTAGTGAAAACAGAGTATAAATTAATATATTTAACCAAAAGTAGTGTTTGATTGCAGGTCATCAAAAAGTGTTAGGAAGGATTAGATAACAAAAATAATAATTTGTGCCTCGCAGCTGAAAAGCAGCTGCTCAGCTTCTTGCACTAATTGATATTTTCAAGGTTATCCCTGGACTTGACTTCTGCATTTGCTGCCAGCTCTGTTGGCTTCCTGTTGGCTCTGTTGGCTTCCATGGGGATGTGAAAACCTGAACAACCAAGGCATGCTCATGACAGTTACAAGTTTTGAGGTGATCTCAGGATCAGCAGTGTAATTCAATTGCTAAACCAAGGATGAGGGCTCTGAGGAGAGGAAAAGACATTAAGCATGTGTTCAGACAGCTTGAATGAGTCTCTCACCCCCAAATACCAGGAATTTTGACATCGCATTAGAGTCTATCTAGTATAGTAACTTACCCCTGTCAACAGACAGTACCAGACAGTACCAGACACCAGACTCACCTCCCAGGAAATAAAAGAACAAAAAAGGCCATTTATGGATAGCTTACAGTTCAGTTTCTTCCCAGCTCCCAGAGAAATTTCTCCTTTTCAGATTCTTATTTAAACCCTCTCTTCATTTCTCGTGTTTTCTGTGTGTTTTTGAACTATGGTCTTCGTTCTTTCTCTCACTGGTTAAATGCACAGTGTTGGTGACATACTTGTTGGTGACTTTGCTGTTAATTTACTAACTTTTACTATGCTTTTCCCAGTTCTCATGGTAGGAGAAAGATGATCAGATGTTTGCCATCTAAAAAAAACCCTGATATTTAAATTCCTTGCAGTGCAGTTTCCTGTATTAGGACAGGTGAGGTAAAGTGGTGGACAGTCGGCTGAATATGAGCCAGCAGTGTGCTCAGGTGGCCAAGAAGGCCAACGGCATCCTGGCTTGTATCAGAAACACTGTGACCAGCAGGGCTAGGGAGGTGATCGTCCCCCTGTACTCGGCTCTGGTGAGGCCGCACCTCGAGTACTGTGTTCAGTTTTGGGCCCCTCGCTACAAGAAGGACATCGAGGTGCTTGAGCGGGTCCAAAGAAGGGCGACGAAGCTGGTGAGGGGCCTGGAGAGCAAGTCCTATGAGGAGCGGCTGAAGGAGCTGGGCTTGTTCAGCCTAGAGAAGAGGAGGCTCAGGGGTGACCTTATTGCTCTGCATAAGTACATTAAAGGAGGCTGTAGCGAGGTGGGGGTTGGCCTGTTCTCCCATGTGCCTGGTGACAGGACGAGGGGGAATGGGCTAAAGTTACGCCAGGGGAGTTTTAGGTTAGATGTTAGGAAGAATTTCTTTACTGAAAGGGTTGTGAGGCACTGGAACGGGCTGCCCAGGGAGGTGGTGGAGTCACCATCCCTGGAAGTCTTCAAAAGACGTTTAGATGTAGAGCTTAGGGATATGGTTTAGTGGGGACTGTTAGTGTTAGGTTAGAGGTTGGACTCGATGATCTTGAGGTCTCTTCCAACCTAGAAATTCTGTGATTCTGTGATTCTGTGAAATAAGAACTGGGTGACTGTAGAAAAGTCTCATCTCTCAAAGAGAACTTGAGCAAGATCATGCTGAAGATGGACAAATTCTTACAGTTTCTGGTTACTCTCTATATGTTGTGCACAACACATGAACCTTCTCAATTTCTCCAGGAGACATTCAAAGATTTCCCCTCTCCCTTTCCCTAGACCTCTTCTTTTGAAAGATGAAGCCTGAATTTCAAATATAAGATAAGCAGCCCATTTAATTAGTTTAGGACTTTCCTGTCTGTGGACAGATTAATTATATTTGTTTCTCTAAAGAATAACAGTTCCTTTTCACTTATAGTTGAGAATGCAATGCCATTTATTTTTCTTTCTATAAATTGTGGTGCTGAATACCTTGTTCATCTTGTTAGCAGAGTAAACGAAGAAACATGAAAACATCATTTCTGGAGGAGAAACAGCATGAAACCAATCTGGCTGCAACATGTATGTTTGTAAACACTGGACCACATTCTCAACTGCATAGCTTCATTGACTTTGATTAGTAAAGATCTGGTCTACTGGTTTTCTCTCAGATAAATATTAATGTGCACTTACTTCTGTCTCAAAATGGATCTCATTGATATCAAATGCAGAAAGGACAGCTGAAACAAGGCTTCCTGGATAAGACTTCTCCTAATGGAGGCCATGGTATTTTCACAAGTTGTTTCCACCGCCCCCATGCCCACCCCCAGGAGGGTCTCTTTGGCTTTTAGAGTTGAGTTAGTGATTGTGGGAGGGTGGGAAGAGAGGCAAGGGAGTGATAAGGGCATAGAGGAATGGGCACATTCGATCTGCTTGGGTGTGCAGTAGGGGACATTGAGGACAGGCATATAGGTGTACAGAATATAATGTGTACATGGGGCAGGGAAAGAGAGGCAGATGATTTACCATGAGGAATGTCACTTCTCCATCTTCCTGGAGACATGACATTATCAGAGGCCAGCTCTCCTGTGAGTAAGCAGATAGTTTAGGGTGCTCATTCTGTGCCTGCTAGTATGTATTTTGCACTTTTAGTATCATCAATAATCACATCTGTAGCTTCACTGAGAAGACAATGAAAAAGAAGAGGGGACCATGAGGGTTCACATAACCTTTTTGGTCAGGTTATCTTATTGTTGCTGAGGACTTAACATTAATGAGGATGAGTATTGTACAATAGTCTTGGGGTGACCAGTAGCAGACTTGCCACCACAGGGCTTAGCATGGTAGGATCTTGCTCATTCCTTATTTGCTACTACTAACTAATTAAACATGATCAGATAATCACAGTGAAGTTGGATGAGCAGCAAAGGATTTGCTTTTTGGGTATACCTGTTTAGAATTTGCTGATTCTCAAGATGTTTATGGTGGCTTTTTCTTGTTTGTCCCAATGGCCATTCAGTGATATGAAAAATTTCTCATTTCTTCCCCTCTGCCCCCTCACCCCACCCCACCTGTCAGCATTGTAGGTATTGTACATCTTTTGACTGTAAGGCACAGTATATCTCTGGCTATCCAAATTAAGTTTTCTGCTAAATCCCTGAACCACTAAAGAGTGACATCACAGAATTCAGCACAGCTGTGGGGTCATGTGTAACATGAATTTGGAAGATAGATGTGAGCAGAAATGTAGGAAGCTCCTGAACAATACCACTGGGAAAAATAAGTGGTCTGTACAACATATGTAATGGGAAAGGAGAAACTATCACCTAAAGCTGGCTGTAGGAAGTTTGGGGATGATCGTGATGCTTCAGGCTGCTGGCAGGATATTTATTCTCTCCCAGCTGATCTCTGCTTACAGCAAGTGGCAGGGGTGCCAGGTGTTTTATGTAGGGGGGCAAAAAGCTAAATCATGCTCTCCATAACTCCCTATGGCTTTGCTCCATGTGCCTTTGCTCCATGACATATGGCTTTATTATGAGAGTCACCTTCAGCTTGGGAAGTGTCTTTTCGCTGCCTGGGACACGTTTGACTCCCTCCTGCCATCTGTATCTGTGACAGTTTGAAATTGTGTTTGTCTGGAGTGTGTTCATGGTTTGATAGGGAAAAAACTCAGAGCTGAGGATGGCTAAGATGTTTTTTTAGTAAAGGCTAAAGTGAATGTTCATACAGGAGAGACCAGTGATTGCTTTCTAGAGCAAGTGTTACAGTGGTTTCCTCAGGATATTTTTGTTCCACAAAAATAAGAATATTCAAAGTTGCATGACTTGTAGTACACCTGATTTCAGTAAAGACTAATTTAATATACCGTGTCTTTCATAAGCAGTTTTGATTGATGTCTCTTTGTTCTCTTATTTAATCCAAATGCAAAAAGGCATTAACTTGTGCTAATTAATTTATTTGTGTTAATTAGCATCTATTGACTCATCCTTCTGTATTGCACTGAAATTTGGGGTGTGCTGGGAATCAGGTGTGGTTTAGCATGCCAACAAAATAAAAGTATTTGGGGGCTGTAGGTTAGTTATATGACTACCATAAATACAAGCATTTTAAAAGTAGAAAGCACTGACTTTGGGCTGCTGGTTAGAGGAAAGCCCTTGTTTTTCAGACTGTGATATGGCTTTGTTTGTAGTGCTGGCTTTTTACAACCAATTATACTCGTATACAGAATTATAGTTTACAGAAATATCACTGCATTTGAAAAAAGCAATTTCCATTGTTCCAGAAATGATGGATGGTATAAGCCACTGAATGTGGGGAAGTTGATGACAAAGTGTCACATATAAGGACTGGAGGAAAACCAGCTCTACCTAGACTGGGGTGTCAACAAAAACCATGAGATGGATGTGGCTTTTGGTTTCCCTTGAGGAACTGCCAGCAGGGCGGGAACCTCTACTTGACTGAGAAGATCAGTAGAAGGAGCACAAAAACGCAGTTTGGATGTCCTGCATAGGGAAACATTTTTGTTGTGGCTGCTCCCGGTTAGAGGAGCTTTCCCAAATGTGCAATACCTGGGAAGAACATTTGAGCTTGGCCAAGACAAAATGCTCAAGGTGGGTATGAGAAAGGGGGGCTTAGGAACATCATCAGCTGTCTGTCCTTCCTTCTATCCTTCTGCTGGCCATGCGGAGGCTCAGTTCTGACCACTTCTGATTTCTGCCTCGGTCCTTCTGTTTTTCACCCTGGAAACACCTCCTCCACACCAAGTTGACTGGTCCTGCAAGGGAGACAGCTTGGAGGGCTGCAAGACATTTTCTTCACAACTGTTTTTTTCTGCCTCTCTCAGGTACAAAGTGATAGGCAAATAAAGTGTTCTTGCAAGTCTGGCCAACACAGATGTAGATCTTGTGCAGTTGACAAGAGAGAAAAACGTAATCATTTAAAAAACAGTTACTGCTCTCAGTTTCCATGGCTTCAAAGGTGAACTTTTCCCTTTTTCTCTTCTCCTGATGAACCTCAGAGCCTCAGCTCAGTCTTGGGGGGATTTTTTTGGTCATTCTTGATGGTTTTTTCCTGCACATGCCTTGGTTCCAAGCCAAGATAACCCACCCTGCCCTTGGCAGGTGCCTGCAGTGCTCAGATGGAGGCCACAGTTGGGTGCCAGGACAGGCAGCTTGTCCACAGGTGGCATATTACACTGAGCAGCATCTGGCAGAGATTTTCAGGTCTGTTGTGAGAAAAGCTGTATGTAATTGTGTCTGCATCTCCCTGGGGAATTTTCGGAGCTAGGAAAGGAGAAGAAGAAACTAACTTTGAACCATAAGACTGATATATATATATCAGTCTATTATATACAGTCTATTTTATATATATATATATATATATATATATATATATATAATGGTAGATGTGGTGCTTTTTATTCATTTCCTTGGGGTTTTGTACCATCTCAAATCAGACCTTGTTACGATAGTTATTTTCCATAGGAGGAATTGACTGATTTTGTAAGCATCCTATCCACCGAAACATGTGCACCGAATTCTGCTTACTAGGCTGTACTGTACATTTCCAGCAAGGATACTTTGTGATTGAAGAATGAGAAATATTTAGGGTAGGTGGAAAAGGTGAAGGTACAAATTGGAAGGAAAGTAAGGATCACAGAATGGCCAGTGGTGGGGACCTCCCATGGTGAGTGGGTTATGTTGATTATTGCCTCCTGCATTGCAGGTCTTCTGGCATGGGAAACACCACCAGAAAAAGACAAATGGTGATGAGGATGGCAGTCTTGAGAAGAACAGAAAATGCTCAAATGTGAGTGGATGACAAGAAGGCTTCTTCTCTTTCCTTTCCCACCTTGACCACGTAGGATACTTAGAGAAAGGTGAAAGTGAATACTGACATAAGCCCACAAAACCATGCCAGGTGTATGATAGACTTTAAAATCAACTGTTTACAACAAAGCCAAACACTGTGAACTAAATGATGCTTACTTGTGTCTTCTGTTCTGGGAAGGCTTCCAAGCTGGGTGGGAAGTGACCTAGAAAATTACCCAGCAAGGACAAAGTACAGGTGTGCCAACACACACCTTAGTGCTGTGCCATGCAAGGGACTTGACAGAAGTTCAAACACATGTACAGGATGTGCCGTATTTCACAAGCTACTATGATAGACTGTGCTCTGCACAAGCGCTTACTGACAGGTAGCATCTACTGGTTTTCTCCCACTGCAGCTGAGAAGACCTGATGTATTTGTGGCAGGATCTTGAAGCAAATTTCTTTCTCTGGCTCTTCTTCCTGCATTAACTACCAAATATAGGGGAACTTTTTGCCATTTCTGACATAGGATTCTTGATTTATAGTTTCAGTTCATTTAAAAACTGCTAAAAAGTACACCGGGGAGGTGGATTTTCACATTTGGAGAGCGAATCTCTCTCCATCAGATGGTCTGGTAAAGTAGAGCATCATAGTTTGGGTGAGTCTGAGAAGATTCTCACTTGGGAATGAGAGACAGCAGCATTTGTTTCCAAATTGCTTTATATTTTGCAGAGTTGCTTCCATTCGTGAGGCTTTAAAATGAAATGAAATTTAAATGGTGGCATTTTGGCTTTATTTTATCCAAATGTTTAGATTTTTAGGCAGTGGTGAGTCGGGCCCAGAATTAAACATCTTAATTATCTGTTGCTGAAGGAAATCCCCCTAGGAAATGAAGTTATAATTTCATCTGTCTTTAAAATTTTAACTCTGCCTTTAATCATATCTCTTGCAATACTTCCCCTGTTACCCCCAAAAGTGTAAGTTCTCAGATTTCTTTCAGTTTCTGCACTACAAAAACTGACAAATCGTCATGTTTGGAAGCACCTGTGGCAGGGAAAGAAATCAGCCAGTTACTACCTCTCAAAATGAATTAATGCAAGGTTATCTTATGAATCCAGCTGTCAGAATTTCAAACAATACAAGCAGGAGTCACAGCATTTCAACCTACTGTGTTTCTGGGAACCTCTCTTTTTCTTTGCACTCTGCAAAGTGAGTGAATGCACTCCTATTTACATAGCAAATTAGAGGTTTTCATGACTATTGATTAGCTAACTTCAGAAACTGCTATAAAGAGGTAAAACATACTATTGACATGTGATATGCATCATGTTTAGAATTTGCTTGGTTTCTGAAATCATCATATCTGTTCAAATGTTTAGTTAATTCCTAAAACTTTTGTATAAATTCCCCAGAAGAAATGTTTATGGAACTCGCAATTGTACAAGTAGACCATGTTTTCTGTCCTTAGGAGCAGACTTTGACATACCGGCTTTGTAGCTCAAAGGGTTGATTGTTATTTAACTTTAATTGCTTTTATGGCCATATAGGCTTTGTTTTATCCTTCTGCATGAAACCAAATTCATCTTATTGCTGTATTAAAAGGTATGGGTACAAAGGACAAAGGACAAAAATAGAATACTTCAACTACATGCTTCTAATTTTTCCCACTCAAAGATTTTTCATGTGATGGAAAATAAGTACATTTCCAGAACATAAACTAAATGCCTGGGAAGCAAATACTGCAAACATAGGGGACTATTCTGCATATGTTCAAGCCATTTGAGGACTGAATGAATCAGCTTATAGCCACTGTGGGATTATTTTTTAAGGCTTTCTGCTCATGCACTACCAATTCAACAGGAGTTGCTAGTGGTGTTTGAAAACGTGAGAACAGCTATCCATATGTTGGTAGCTACTCACACAGGTATGAAACATAAACATTTTTATCATAGAACAAATGCTTTCAGTTTAAAATTACCCATAGCATATTTATGAACTTTAGATCTATCAGAATTTACAGAATCTCTATATAAAAGCAGTATGGTGTCCTAATAAAAATAATTTTTATCTGACTTGAAAATACTATAGAAGACTTATATTTAAGTCTGATTATTATTATCTGATTAATTGTTCATTGTGGTAGCCAACACTGTAAGAATACGTACATGATATTAGATGTGCAAGGTTGGTTTGGAAAAATAAATATCTAGTAAATTTTGCTGATTAGTCAAGGTGGACTAGTATTTTTGTCAGCCTGAAAATACTAGGAACTAAATTACTACAACAATAGAGCCTCATTTTACTTACAGAGGTGGCTGGGAAACAGTTGGATCATGACTTGTTGTGGAGAACTTAATCTGCTAAAACAGGAGTTTTTATTGCTGTCTTTCCAAAAGAGGTATCATCAGTGGTCTGTTGGAGACTGCTATTAAATAACACACATTAGACAAGTCACTGGGCTGTTCAAGATAATATCAGTGCTTAGCTACAGCAGATTTTCTTTTAATCATAAAGTCGTAATTATAGCTTCACTACAGGCAAAAGAAATCTGAGCTCTGAACTTGCATTCTTTCTATAATTTTACTTATCTTGTGCATTTGCATTTTCTAGTTCTTGTCAATGGAGATATGGGGTTGGACATCCAGTGAAGATCTGTTGGGTTGAACAGCTCAGATACATTAACTTTCCACAAAGCTTGAAGCATTTCTTTCTAGCTTTGTTGAAGGTGTGGTCTCCTTGGCCTCTTGGTTGGATTTTTTATTTATTTTATTTTATTATTTTTTTTAAGCACACAAGCTAAAGTTGTTGCTAAATCTTTGACAAAGAAAAATGTCAGATGACAGTAAGTGATCTTTACTACTCTAAAGTGCAAGAACAGTGAAAAAGTAAATGAATGCTTTTTAGATACAAAATATGTTTGCATAGCTGTAAAAATCTGGCAAGCAGATGGCACCACGTTGAACTTCAATAGGAAATCAGATCTGCAAAATCACTATTTGTTACCAGGTTGCTATTGAAGAGCCCGATTATGATGAGTGATAGGAGTCCCTGTGATGAACCCCTTCCTCAGGCTGGCAAGCAGTTGTTCCCATGAAGAGTTGTAATGATTCCAGCATGCTGGCTTTCTCCCCAGTGCAAGGCAAGCACAAAGGCTGGTCCAAATCTTTAGTTATAAAACAATATGTTGATCATCAATATTTGTTCTGAGGACTGGAAAATGATAAGATTAAGAGTTTATCCGTAATTGCTTGCATGTGCTTAACCCATGGTGAGTGAAGGCTAATATGACTGGGCTTAACTCAGCACTGAGCTTCGCTGAGTTGTGCTGGTTTAGCACAAGCTAAAAACATGCATATGAAAAGCTACCATGGGCCAGCTGACACATGGAAATTCTTTAAGTTCTGGTAACTTCTAAGTCTGCAGCGGGAAAGAGACTTTTACGGGAAAATCCTGTCTGCACAAAGTGGGGTAATTTCGGGGGGGAAGCACAGAGCCTGGTACAATTATTAGCTTCTGAATGGGAGGGTATATGAGAAGCCAAGCATGTCAGGGATGCAAAAATATATCTAGAAACCTGGAGAAATCCTTCTGAGAGCTGTTGGAAAGGAGACAGTCTAAGTAGTTCTGAGACATCACTCTTCCAACCTAGAAATTCTGTGATTCTGTGATCACAACATGGAGCAATGCTGCTTTCTTGGTGCCTGGGACACACAACACTTTCTGAAAAACCTTGTATCTTGTGTGATGTCACTGAAGGGCAGAGCACAGCTCAGCTAAGCTCATTGCTGCAGGCTTCATCAGAAGAGGCCATGAAAGTTTTCAAGGACTGGTAGCTTGCTTCTAAAGTTCTTGTCAGTTAATCTTAGCGAAGAATGAGAAGTGTTGTTTCTATTAGCCTAGCTAAAGTTAGGCTCTGACTTTGTTTCAAGTCAGTGTTTTTCCTACACTCAGGTATTTCTGAATACCTTTCACAGATCCTTGTATGAAAGGTAATACAGAAGAAAAAAATCCATCCATGTTGATGGGCTTATGCAAGAGTGCCTCGTGTCCTCCCCTTCTGTGAGAGTTTGTGCTTCTGCAGGGAAATATTTCAAGCATGAAGACAGAGAAACTATAAACTACTTGTATAAGAGACAAAATATTTTAAAACCTCTAAATGCCACATAGACCTTGGAGACAGTTATTATGCAGTGAATTCCTGAAACTCTTTTGGAGAAGGGTCAATGAGAACATCTATAGAAAACAAACATGTTGGTCTGAGATGCAGTGGATCTTTTTGCAACCCTGTATTTTGACTTTTCCTCTGTGTTTTGTTTTTCTTTGTCTCTTGATTCCTAGGAAGATCTCTGGGGACCTGTGCTTTCACTGCTATGCAGACATTGACACTGGCACAGTTCCGCAAAATATCTAAGGTACAGTTTCCACGGGCAAATATAGAACAAGGGATAGCAGCAGAAGGGAGGAGGACATTGATAAATAAAGCGATGTTGTGCATTTCTGGGAAGAGCCTGGGACTCTTGTCCTAGGAGCCCAAAGCTAGACTTGGAGTTCTAGAGCTGGCCTCATTGATGCCAAATAGAGAGCAATGACAAATTGCTCTTGTGACTTTCTTTTAAGTCTGTAATACGATCCAAACCCTAATGTCATAAATTAAGTAAATAAATAAATGAAGTGCATATTTTAAATGTTTTTTGAAGAGAATGTAAACATAAATAAGCCATGGCTCTTTGTAAGGAAGTAAATTACGTGGCTTCACATACTGGCTTCTACAGTTTTTGCCACAATAGCTTTATTTCACAAGGAGCAATGTAATCCATGATTAAAAATGACTTAGAAGTGGAGATTATAATCAAAATAATTTAGGATTTGTACTTAACAATTAAAATGCAGCAAATTAAACACTGAAGTAGGAAAACCAACAATAGATGTGGAAGAAAGACAGATTTACATGTTTAGCTTTATTGCTGATATGACAGCATAGTCTTAATTTCTTAAATTCAGACATACCTGAAATTGAGATAAAAATAGATTTTTTACTGCCTTTGGATCATGGAAATATATTGCACTTATGCAGTGTTGCCAAGATTTTTCCACCAAGGGATAATGTAACCATGAACAATTGCAGTCACCTGCCTTTGTAAGCAAACTGTTGGTCTGCTTAAGGATCGGACCACTGGTGCCAGTTGATTGCTTCACTTGAGTGCAATAGAAGTGAATACATGTCCTAGAATTGACACTCATTTATTGTCCCTAGATCCTGCTAATGATAGCAAATCTCACCAATCTTTTTCTGTCAAATTCAGATACCTTAAACAAGGCTTGTAACTCCAAAGTTATAAACTCTGCAACTGCAGGGAAGAATCAGCTGCATAAATATCATACCCACAGCTGATAGTGTTGATTGATGATGGGATTGTCTTGGGATCCAGCTGTCCCTATTAAATAAAGAATATGGGCTGACAAAGTGCATACTAATTTAAGCTTCCCAGAAAGTCATCCTGTGTACTGAGGGACATTTACCGTGCTAGAATAAGACTGCAAAGTCTCTACCTACCTACCAACCATACTCCTGTGTCTAACACATCACCATTTTTTTTTTTGTATTGCAGCATATACTTCTTTTTGTTTTGTTTTGTTTTATTTCTTCTTTTCCAGTGTTTCCCAGTGCTTCTGCAGCTGCATTCAGCCTTCTGTCATTACAGAGGGGTGGAGGGTCTGAAGCCACTTCCAGGCTTGCAGGAAAGGATTTCTGAATAAATAATACCATGGGCAGAAATACACTGCTGCACTGGTTGCTTTTGCAGAGTGTATTGAAAAACCTGCCTGGAGTCATGCAAGTGCAATGTAATGTTAGGAAGCTGAACTTGTGTTTTTATTTTCATTTATAAGAGAAAATCTGAAATGTGAAAATACATTTAATATGATGGAAATGGCTTAAATTTTGTGGTGAAGGAAGAAAATTCACACAGGAAGATCCAAGTTCAAATTAATTAAAATGTGATCATGAAAGACTGGTGGAGGGCTTCTAGTCTGAAAGGCAGCTCATTACCTGTCTACTAATAGCAGGCTATTTGTAGAGGTGGTCAAAGTGAAATGCATGGCAGTGTCCACCATTTTGTTTTCATGTTCAATTTGACAGGAGTCACTGGAAATTACACTCACAGGTCTGATGGGATTCTTGTGGCTAGCAAAAGCGGGAACGATTCAATATTATGAAGTATTTATAAGTCCCTAAGGCACACTTACAGATGTCCTTGGCAACAACAATTTCCAGTCCGTTATTAGCTTTAAAAGCTAAAAGCAGAGCTGTAGACCTTTTCTAGGCACCAAAAAGCAGCAAATGCTGACAGACAAGTAGTGAGTAGGCAGGTCCCACTCTGCCCACCTCTGATAACAATCAAGTCCCTGTATTGTGCATTAGCTTCAGGGAATGGATTAGCCCTTTTGGCAGCCCACTATAAAGCACTTTGCAGTAATCTCATTTTGAGATCTGAAAGGCATGAATCATCCAGGTCAAGTTTAAATCATGCTTTGAGGGCCAGATTCTTATCTTGCTTGTGCCTCAATGAATAGAGAGCTATTACATTAGAGCTGATGGTGTTATGCATCCACGTAACGTCAGCAGGCAGGTAGTCAGAATTGGGCCCTAAGACTGAAAAATTGTCATACTGGTAAAAATTAGATGAGGGAGGAAGTAGGGGTTGCTATTTATAACAGCAAAGAATAAACTACTTCTAGCACTGAATGAGGAGCTTTCTTACAATAAAGAAAAGGGAATGGTCCCATTTCAACTAAATATTTAAGCTCCTTGCTGATGAGGTTCCTACTTCTCCACTGTGTTTACTGCGCCTTTTCCATGACAAAACTATAACTATTTCCCCGGCAGACACAAACATAGGAACACACACATTCTCATATCACATAAATGCCCATCTGGCTTGGGATGAGGTCTCTTACTTTTGACCACTGCATGAAAGAGGCAGCAGGTATGAAAGGTGGCAGATCATGGCCTGCTAGATGACTTTGTCCAGGCTTGTGTCCTGTTCTCTATTCACATCTGAAGGATTGCAGAAAAAGGGTGCTAAAATGATGCTGACTGTGGGCAGCTGTTCTAGGGCCTGTGTTAGTCATGTAAGAAGTATCTCTGACATCTTCCCAGTTTGTTCAGTTCTGGGACTACTGACTTCAGCATAAGCAAGCTGCAGGCTACACCCTCAAAATGATACATATGTTTTTCAATTTCATACCATTTAAACAAAGTACACAGCACCGAAATGTGTTTCTCATTTTTATCTTGAGGTGAAAGATGTATATACTTTAGCCTCCTCAGGCATACTCTTACTAATAGCTGGTAGGTCATGTGTTTATACACTTTTCAAGGCAGCTGGCCCTGCAGCCTGTCTCCCTTCTCATCCTCATCTTCCCATTTAAATTGCTTGCACTTTTCTTATTTGTAGGTTTGTGGTAAGCAGAGCAGACTTATTTCACTGGTGTAGAGAACAAGAGGTGTGCCCACTGCTAATGCAAGAATTTGCTGAAGAGTTGCAGATAGTTTTTCCTCTGTAAACTCTTCACTCAACCTGTCAACCCTTTCCCGAACGTTTCCTTTGGCAATGCATTTAAAAACTGCTTGGATCCCAAGAGCTTCAAACGTAGAGGATGTAAACCATGGTCCAGAAGTCTGAAACAGAACAAGATGCTGCATTATCCAATGACCTGGAATAAAAGCAAAAGGGGCTCAGAAGAGCTTGCAGGGGTCAGGCAGTCTGTGACCTGCCTTGCAACAAGCTCAGATCTACCCAGGACATAACTGACAAATGCTGGTCTGCCTTGTTCTTAAAAAAATCTCCTGTGGAGAGATTCTGCTACCTCGTGAAGCATACTGTTCTGGTAACTACTTGTCCACAGCTGCCTGTTGATTTGTAACAGCCCTGAGAAGATGGACAAGTCTCAACATAGAATCCCCTACTTGGTTATTCTACTGCTGTTAAAAAAAAATGTTTTTGGTCTGTACCAGAATATTCATTTTTGAAGGTTATAACATGGAGAACACTGGAGCTCTTCACATTTCAAGTATATTCTCCAACTTTGGAAGCAAAATGAGAATGGTCCCCCAGTGATCCTGAGCTCAAAAACAAGGCAAACCTATGGAAACTGAAATTTCAGCAAACACCAGCCAAGTTCAGACTTCTAGGCTTGTTAGGCATCTGGCTACACATCAAGGAGTCTGTCAGCCCTATGAAATGCATTTCTAAGCACTACTATGGGCAGCGTGGGCAGGGAGGTGGAAGGGGAGACAAATTTCCCTTGAAAGGTTAAATTAAACCCATGTGTCCCTGATAAATATGCAAATTACTGAATTGGCACATTCCTATAGGAAAAGAGAGAGTCCAGTCAATGATTGCTAACCATCCTTTCAGAACCTTCCCTCCTTCCACAACGTTATTATCAAATATGCTAATCCTTTCCCTTCAGATAGTTGTAACAATATTTTTCCATGGATTCTGTGGGTCATGGTACAGATGCAAGGTTCTTTAAGGTCATTCTACAAGATCTTTTTTTTTTGTGTGCTTTCTTGTATCAGGCTTCTGCATGGACAGACTCCAACTTTAGTCTGAAAGTTTTCCAGACAAGAGCCTTTTTGCACGTGGGTTTTGTGAAAGTGATCTAATATATGGATGAAAAATACTGAACTTTGTATATGTCTGCAGTTTTGTGTCAGTGTATGCCTTACAGCCTGCAATATAATCAGCTTTCATTATGATTAATACTGAGCTGGTAAGGAAACAAACTGCCTGCATACAGACATTTCAGGGGAATATCTCTCTGAGTGGGTTCAGCTCTTGGGTTCACTTTCCAAAAACTGCAAAGATGTAGTTAGGCCTTTTCAGTTTGTCTGTTTATCAGCAGGAACACCAATATTTACCATTCAGCACATTGTTTGATCCTTCCATTAATGTCTTCCCACCTCCTGACAATGCCTTTGCAAAAGTTAAAAAGAGACCTCAGCTACAGCAAGAGCTTTTGCCTGTGGAAATAAACACTGCTGCTTCTCAGCTGCAAACAGTGCTGCTACTCAGCTGCCTTTCAAGCCCAGGGTTATGAGGAGTGTTTGCAGAAAAATGCACGCTGAATGCAAGAGCACTTTCTTTTCTGCTTATGCTTTGTTCCTTCTCACAACACATGGAATTTAAATGCCTCAGTCAGTGACCAGGTTGTTCTTTGTTTTGATGGAATGTGTTATTCTCTTCTCCAGAAGCTTAGAGCATCTACAAAATCACAAGTGGTTTCTTTACAAAGGAGGGGGAGGCAAAGCTATTCTTTCTAATACTTAGGCGAGAGGAAGTGCAAACAAATGCTGCTCAGTTGCAAAAATGAATTGAATGTCAAGGCAGGACTTAGCAGAGTGCAGACAACTCAGGATGGGGACAGGACTCTGCTATGTAATTGTTACAAGATGTTCCCTCTCCACGGCAGTGGAAAGGGACAGGGATGCAGCTGTCAGGCACGCTGTCCTTCATTTCCAGTGCTGGAAAATGTGCCATTAAAAATACACATACACAAGTCCTTCAGCAAAGGAAGTCTATTTTCAATTGTGTTCATTTATTTAAGACCTTTTCAAAGAAATTTAGCTCCTTTCTGGAATTTAGTGAGGGTCTCTACTGCAGGGAATCACACAGCACAAGCAAGGAGCAAGGAGGTTTTTTAGGTGCTCTTGTGAAAGCTTGTCTTCATGAAAGGAGCAGAGAAGCTAAAAGTGCAGGAGAAAAAAACAACAGTGAAGTAAGAACAAGAAAAGGCCAAGAACAGATGGATAGGTGAAGGTTCTTGCAGAAAGTAAAATCCTACTTGCAGTAGGATTCAAGCATCGAGCTAAATCACTGGCATATGGAGTGAACGTCTCTTCATGAACTAGCTGTTTGAAAGCCTGTTAAAGCTAATGGAGTTGAGAGGGCTGTGCAGATGACCAGATGTAGGTTGAGGGAAAGCATTCATTTTGGAGCTTCTCTACCAGAAAAAGATTGGGAAATCATATGTTAGGTGAATTCTCACAATGTATCTCTTTTCCCTCCTTTTCCTTCTCAGTTTACTATAGTTAATAGTTTACTAGTTTAATAAATACATAACTGAAATGGATTGGAGACCTGAAAAGACAACCACATAGTCAAATAATCAGCCTTCAAAAGTTTAAAGAAGATAAGACCCCTTCTAGTTACGATCTGTAGGCTATACTATAGGGCAAAGATGTTATTCATATGTAGCACTCCACATTTGTTGAAAACTTTTGCTTTCCACCATCATGTTTTCTTATTTGCTTGCACCTGTGAATATGTAGGATGGCATTTTGAAACAGCCTATAGGTCACCTTCTGATATGGACCGTAATAAGGAACAGTGCTGTACTGTTGGAGAGAATAGATCCACCTGGGGCCTAAATTTAGGCATATATTAGGTGAATACTTGCTTTGCTTACCAGAAGCACAGTGTTATAGAATCCTGGAATACACATCCCTCACAAGGAAATGCTCTCAAAGTAATTGCAGCAGCCTTTTATGTATCCTGAGATTGTTACGTTTCCTCTCAGTCTTTAAATTCAACTGCATTTCTTTCAACTGCTCCCAACATGACATTTCCTTGGATTCTGATTATCCTTGCTGCTCTCTTATTGATTGCTCCCATCTTTCTATAATTGTGGTATTCCAGACTACAGGCAGAATCCCCACTGAGGCCTTGTCATAGTTGGAAGGAAGATGAGGATTACTTCACATCTTGCATAAAACCCACCTGCTCCTCCATGCCAGAAGGAGGTAGATAGATACCTTGCATCTGTGTGACACTGCATATTCAGTCAATTTGTAGGCTTGGTCCTTTTCTCCAAAGCCTATATTAATTCAGTGTTTCCCCATCTTCCACTTGTGTAGCTTATTATTCCTGCCTTTTCACTTGTCCTTGTTCAGTTGCTTCCTATTTATTTCAGACTGTTACTCCAGTTAATGCAGGTATTTCTTTCTTTTTAATTCTACAGAGAGCTCGTGACTCACATTTTCAGATGAAAATGAACAATGAACTTCAGATCATATGCAAATTTTATAAAGAATACTCTTGTACATTACTGACTCTTGTATGAGTCAGTAATAGAAATTGGAGAAATGCTAGAGGAAGCTGGATTTTATTTATTTATCTATTATTATTTATTTATTTTATTTATTTATTTATTTTCAGAAAGCCACAGGACTTTCTCCTAGTTTGATAGTGATAATTTTTGACATGAGATTTTTCGAGCAATTGTATATAGTTTACAATGATTTCAGCTAGGGCAGACATTTGTAAACATGGTATAAGTAACCCTATAGGGTATTCAAGCTACTTCAAATGTTACTGTTAGATGGCAAAATACCTCTTTGTTGCCTCAGTGCTGTGCAGCAGAGTCAGGGACTTTTTACCTTTACAGGAAGCGCTTAAGAAACCAAGCCTGGCTACAATTATGACACTTCTGCCTTTTTACTCCACTCTTTTTAAAGAAAAAATGATATGCTGCATACTCTTTCCAACATTTCTGTTTTCATATCAGCTATAACTCCTATAACTCTCAAAGAAAATATTTATGAGCTGCCTGAGATGATCACTCAGCTCCCCATACATGTCAGAGTGAGTTTCACTTGGTCCAAGAAGTAATTCTTGGATTAATCCAAGAAGTAACCTGGAATAATCCAGGTTACAAATAACCTCTGGAGGTCATCTAGTGCAATCCCTGCTCACAGGGCCAACTTGAACTTGAAATTATTCCACTCTGCTTTCAGTCTTGCTCATGTCTTTCATCAGACAAGAGTTATTTCTAAGCCTGTCACTTTTGACACAGACAGTATAGTAAAAAATCTAATTTGTATTAGCCTCTTGAATATGGCAGAAAAACATGTTACAGAGCAGGATTTGCAAGCTCTTCCTCATGTCTGACCTCTTCCAGAAAGAAATCAATATAATTTCTAATGATTTGATCTTGAATGAAGTCTCTGGGCATTAACTTTATTAATGAAACGTATTATTGCTTACATTGATTTTGCCCAGGAAAGAAGGCTGGCATGCAATCCGAACTGCTCTGGGTGTCCTGTGGGAATGTCACAGCTCTTACCTGACAGCAGCTGAAATGCTCACCCAGAAGAGAGGAGCTAGCTAACTCTGCTGCTGGTAGGGAAGCAGAACCAAGTACCACAAACAAGTGGAAAAGTCTCAGAGTTGGATTTGTTTGTGTACCTGCTGTTTATCTGGTTGTGGTTTTTAAACCCCAAAGAATATGTATATGTTAATCAATGTGATATCCAAATGAATTTGAAGTAAACTAGCATGCAAAGATAATAGAGTCCTGGAAGCAGTAAAGCTGTGTTACAATTGCATCATGCTGCTTCATACTAACATTGCACGTTGCTTCATACTAATTAATACTGTTTTTTGACAGGACAGTTGCCCTGGAAGAATGCTTTGCTGACAGGGTTGTGGCCGCTGGTGCTGGAGATGGCTGGCTGAGCGCTCTGCTCTGCAGCATTGTGCAGTGTGAGGTTACTGAGGCTCAACTGGTGTTCACAGACAGTTCAGTTTCTGACAGCTGGAGACTTGCAACTTAGCTCCTGAAGAATGTTCACAGTTGTTTTCTGCTTTTGTCAAGTGAGGCTTAGCTTGTAGCTAAAAGCTTCCTTAAAATATGTTGCTTCTTGGCAAGTACTATTAAAAAAGAACCTGAATTAGGACATAGGCATTCAAAGTAATTTACCTATTCATCTGTAAAGCAAATGAAACAGATACATTTGTCTATTTATCTAGACTCAGCTGAACAGAACCATTTTCTCTTTACAGCTAAGAGAATGTAAGGATGACTGAAAATGACTGAAAATGCAACATTACATTGTTCTGAATTCAACAAATTCAATTTTCTAAGGGAAAATATTGAGACATCAGTATCCAACTCTATGCCTTAGAATGCCATCTAGTCATGTATAGAATCTTTTATTTATTTTTTTTTAATGTAACAGAGAAAAATACAGCTAGATTCAGATCTTAATATTTAAAAAAAACAAAAAACATCCCTTTCCCCTCTTCCTCTTCCTCTTCCTCTTCCTCTTCCTCTTCCTCTTCCTCTTCCTCTTCCCCTTCCTCTTCCTCTTCCTCTTCTTCCTCTTCTTCTTCCTCTTCCTCTTCTTTTTCCTTTTTTGTTTTCCTTTTTCCTTTCTTTCTTCTTTCTTCCTTGTTCTTTCTTCTTCCTTTTTCTTTCTCCTCTCTTCTCCTTTCTCTCTTCTCTCTCTCTTTTCCTGAAACATAAAGTAAATGGGGATTGCCAACAAAGCATGGACTAAAGGGAAACAAAATCACAGAAAAAGTCATTTTAAAATGATTATGTATGTCAAAAAACAAGGGAAGTCTTCCACTAGAGAAACACACCACAGAAGCAGGAAAATGAGTGGATAGCTTACAAGAACCCTAGAGGTGCAATGATGGCACTTCACCTGCTTACAAACATGTACAAAACACTATATGGATTTAAACAAATAAAAGATTATGGCTTCATATAAATAAAAGATATGGCTTCAAAGCATATGGCTTCATAATTATATGGCTTCTTCTTCCCATTTTTGAATGTCCATGTAGCAAGATGCAGAATGGGTATCCTCTCATTCAGGGAATATACTCATCCCTGTTCAACAAAGTACAGAGAGCTCATGCATTTTTTTATCCTCTTAGAAGTGCTACATTTTTTATTATTGTTTGGATTTGGGGATTAGTCTTAAAGACTTTTTGCTGTCAAGATTTTTCTTGGCTTTCAGATCTGTTGTTGGGTTGATGAGATACACTTTTAATTATCTGTGGAAGAAACTTACTTTTGAATGTCCTGTCTACATTGAACTCTGATTGCTGGCACTAGTGACAATCTTGATGGATGCTGAAAACATTGCAGGTAACATTCCCCTTATGTCATTTACTGGACTCTAGTTTTGTTGTAGAGAAAGTGTGATATCTGATTCACTGGACTACAACTGGAGTACACAAAAGCATTTGGAAAAAAAAAATGACAGATATGAAA